GAAAGTTTCCGAGACCTGCTGGATGCAGCAGCCCTGAGAGTTCTCAGCAGAATTCCAACCTGAGCCTATGCACACGCAGGCACGGGGGATGCAATTTGCTCTCTTTAAGAAATGAGCAGTTTATGGCAATGCTTTTGAGTTCTTATCTAGCTTATACTTGATTGTGCAATTTGAAAACTTTATCTGAGACTTCAAATTTTAATTTACTTCCAAAATTCCTTGAGGGAAAAAATATAGTTTTTAAAAATCATTATTTTTCTGAGGGCAAAACTTGTTTTTGGAAGGTTTATTTACCAGTGTATACAATCCCTAAGCTCATCTCTAAATCCCTGAAAACAGTATCTTCAGGCATTTGAAGGAATGATTTTATTATTATTAAAAGCTTTGAGTTTGATGAATTAGAGAAATTGTTTTTCTTTGATGAATTCAAATCTAAATACTGTCACCATGCCAGAAGAACTTTATCAAAATTGTCAAAAACCCAAAGTCTTGGAGTTGATGTTCATTTGATAGGAAAAACTGTGAATATTACTGTCATATGTTGGTATAGAAATATTTTTTTCTTTAAATTTTATTGATTTTAGAGGAGGAGGAGAGAGAGAGACATCAATTTGTTGTCCCACTTATTCATGCATTCATTGGTTGATTCTGATATGTGCCCTGACTGGGGATTGAACCCGCAACTTTGACATATGGGATGATTCTCTAACCAACTGGGCTACCTGACCAGGGCTGGAAATAGCTTTAATGCAAAGAATAATTATTGGAATAATAACTATAATAAACTTAGTATTGAGTCATGAGGATATTCACTTTTTAAAAAACTAACTTTACTCTTTGGAATCATGAGTTGACTTTTCAAAAAAAAAAAAAAAGATAAAAACGATACCATGCATTGGAAACTATATAATGGAGTGTTGTTAATTATCAATTACTTTTATATTGATAAATATACTTTTTTTTAACAGTCTGGCAATGTCCACTCAGCCTTTTCGGGGAACTCTTAACTTACAGGGATTGGGAGGCAGCAGCAATGACTTTTAAGGGAACAGCCTCTGTGGTCCCAGTGCCTTTGGCCTGTTCTCCCAATGACAACATGAGAAACATCAGCTGGCCTGTGGCTGAACTCGGGGACCCTGATGCCATTAAGACTTAACCAAGGTGACTGGACTTCACACCTGGCTCCTGAGCCTCTGAGGCCTTGGGGGCCATCTTCCAACTTGATTCTTGGTCCTTCCCAGACCCAGAGCTTCTGGACACAGTGAAAAGACACCAGGGGGTGTGAGGACAGAGGTGATTATACTGCTGGCTTAATTTTGTAGCCCGTATGCTCAGGGAGCCCAGGCAGCAAGTGACAAGTGAGCCTTTTGAGTGGAAGAAGGAAGTGGGTTCTGCCATGGCCCTTGGAGAGCTTGGGTCTTGATCTCTCAGGAGACAGACCAAAGGGAGCCTTACACCTGACATCGTCACCATGGGAGGTGGGCCCCTAGCACGGCTCACAGCTTCAGTTTGCCTTCTACCCGGCTTACGGGGAACTGAGGGCCAAGCCTCACCTTCTACAGCCCCTGGAATGCCAGCGGACCCTCTCTTCTCCTGTTTTCCTTGGAGTTACCCTACAGGTCTTCCCTGGGAGGTTCAATTGATGGGGCAATTTTTCCCTCTGATCATTTTCTTTTTCTTAGCTTTACTATTTTGCTTCTTCCACAAAGGTCAGCCTACTTCACATGAAGTTGGATGAAGGTGGGATAGCATGTGCTACAACAAAAGGCCCCCTTCACTTGGGCCTCTCCTCTAGAAAGGGCATCTTAGAGACATACTACAACTCTCTGAGCACTGCCGCTGACTTCTCTCTGGTTTAGGAGATAAGGTCCTAAGCTGAGCCTCTCTGGCTGGCATTGCTGGGTCTATGGCTAGGGAATTAATTGCAGTTGGTTGTTAAAGGTTATTGAGGGGATCACCTGTCTTTGGTTCAGAGAGAGGATTGGAGGGGTAGAGTCAGAAGGCCCATCAGCAAGAAAACCTCAGTCTCAGAGAAATCTCACTGGCCTCTCATAGCCCCTGGCTGTGCTCCATGTCAGCGACCAGCTTGGGAGCCCTGTGTATGAGAGATACACTCTTTGCAGGGATCTGAAATGGGACAGTAAAGCCACAGGCAAGGGTGTTCTCTCTGACTGCAGTGTAGGTGGTCATTCCAGGGCACTTCCAAGCTGGACACTCCCAACAGTTCTCAGTGGCCACCAGTGAAATGAGTGGCCAAGGGCAGCTGACTGGCCTGCAGCATTCCCAGGATTCACATACAGGGTGCAGACACTGTCTGTGGCCATTTGAACATCTATATTTTACGTCCTTTTCTCGGTTCGTTAAATCACTTTCTTTAGCTTTACTTTGAAAGTCCTAGCCAAGTGGCTGTGTTAAATGGGGACCAGGGTAGGGGGAAGATCAGCAGGCTACCCCATACAGCAGGACTCCTACAAGAGAGGGAGGGACAGACTAGAGAAGGTGCCATGGCAACTCTAGAGATGTGGGGACCTCGCGCAGGGGGACAACTGCCAGAATTATGTTCATCCCAACTAGACTTGATAAAATCCCTCTCTTAATTAGCTGCAGTAATTCTTTCTGAAGTCTTCAGAAAAGGAAGAATCTCCATTAGCATACTTAGCATTTTAATCACCACGTTTCCAAGAATGTCTTGTTTGAACTTTTACTTTGGCTCTGAGATGAGGCAGGGAAAGCATCCAACTCAAGCATCGGAGCAGTCCACAGAATGACAATTGTGGCTTTCCTCCAGGGTTTCTTGTGACTTCGTAAGCTCTATAACCATCATAACCAGTTGCCTTTCTTTAGCTTTGCTCTACTTAAGTGCCCATGGATATCCCTTCCCCACCCTCTGCCCCTTATTACTCACCTCTTATTCTACCCCCATGTGTGTTAAGTATTGCACGTGCTTTTAAAGTGACAACTATCCAGGAAGCCCTCTGATTTAGTGACACCTTCCCCTCCAACTTTGATCCCCACTATCTCCAAAATGGCCCTCCTGAGCCACACCTTCTTGTATTCCATTCTTGTGTAATCCCTTCCCCTTGAGTCTAGGTTGGCCTATGATCTGCTCTTGACCAATAACATGTGGTGGGGATGACTGAGTTACTTCAGAGGTTATTAGAAGAACCCTGCAGCATCTACTGGGTCCTCTTGTGATGTTAGCTCTGGGGAAGCCAGTTGCTCGGTCAGAAGTGTGACTGCTTTGAGACCTCTGCGTTGTGAGGAAGCATAAGCTAACTACGTGGAGAGACTACTGAGAGATGCCCAGCCAGTCTGCACCTGCTCCAGTCATCCCAGAGGAGAGGCCCGACATGTGAGCAACACATCCCTTGTGGATCTCCCACTCGGTCAGGCATTCAGGGGATACCAGACTCAGCTGCCATCTGAAAGCCCCCAGGAGACTCCAAGAGATGGCAATCACCCACATAATCATGGGAGATAAGAACCTTCTATATAAACCACAAAGATTTGTGATGCTTCATTATGCAGTGATAGATAACTGGAACACCACTGCAGGACAGAATGGCCATGAAGATAGCAAGACATTTTCCAAATCCATCTTCTTGGCTTATGTATGCAAGTGTGACTTGTTCTCTCCCATGAAAAGTAGTTCTAATGACGGCCATGAGGACTAAATCATTCCATTTAGAGTCATGATCATTGGAACACTTTGAAAACATGCACATCATAAAAACCACTGCTTTCCCTCCCCTCCCCTCTTCCTCCCCTGGTCACACACCAGTGTGCTTCCTGGGCATCACATTGCCTGCTGGATGTGCCCAGTTCACCGACCAGGAAGATGCTCTTGCAGCAACACACCTTCAGGACAGAACTTGTTGAAGATGAAGGCAGCAAGGGGAAGGGGCTGAGAATCAGTGCCAGGTGGGTGGGGAATTTCCTGTGTCTTGGAACCAGCTTTCCCCAAGGCCTCTCCCTAAGATCTAACCAGTGTTTCCCTTCCCATTGCATCTTTATTTTTACAAGGTACTTTAATTTCCTTCTCCATCCTGGAAAAGGCATTGGAGAATACTCCCCCCCAAGTTCAATGAGACAAGGTTGGAATTTTCCAAAAGGAACATTTACTAGGAAACTAAAGGGAAACAAACAGAATGCAAGAGAACAAAGGGAGACTTACAGATGGGCTAAGGGAGTTCAAATTTATAACTGGCCTCTGGACACAGCTGGACTGGCTAGGCAAAGCTTTCCAGACACAAAGCCACCTGCTGCCATGCGGACAGGCCTCTTTGCCTGCTGGCCCCTACAGAGCCACCTTCTGTTTCATACCAACAAACCAGAAGCATGCTCATTAGTACCCCAGGGCTGCTAGCTCCCTGGGCAGGAGGGTTGGGAGGGGGAGCGATAGGCACAGCTGCCACAGGATCTCCTACCCGGGCTCCCAGTGCCATGGACGTGTCAATGTTTACTGGGATGGCTGCCTGGTACCTCTCTGGGCCAGTCTGGTTAATCTGGGACCATTCTTCTGGGCTTATCTGCCTGGCTCTGGGGAAAATATTTCTGCTGACAATCCAGCTGGCACTAGTCTTCCATGTTTTGGTCCTAAACACTGATAATGGTGATGGATATCTGAATGGGGAGGAATAGGCAGAGAGAGCTGGCAAAGAAAGTTGCATTCTTATCATGTCATCAGACATAGGCACAAACTTGGATCCCCTTTGGGTCCTGGAGGTTGAAAGCCAATTAGAGACAAATGAATTGGGCAGGCTGGGAACTCGTGACACTGGAGTGTGGTCATGATGACTCACACAGCCAGCAGCCTCCATCCTTTTTAGATCTGGCATCAGGGTAGTTTCTTTTCTTTTCTTTTCTTTTAAGTCCTCACCCCAGGACAAGATGAAAATTTTAGAGAGGGGGTAGGGAGGGACAGAGGGAGAAAAACATTTGATGCGAGAAACATGGATTGGTTGCCTCTCGTACATGCACTGACCAGGGACAAACCTGCAACCCAGGCATGTGCCCTGACTGAGAACCCAGCCCATGACCCTTTGGTTTATGGGACGATGTTCCAACCAACTAAGCTGCACTGGCCAGGGCAAGGGTAGTTTCTAATACCAGGCAGCTAACTTTCTGAAGACCTGTGATGATTCTGTTTCCACCCAGTTAGTCCCACATTGAAATGTTAATTCAAATGAAGATAATGAGCTTCCGAGGAAGGTAAACTACAATCCAACTCTGGATTCTGCTGCAAAGGGCTTGTAGGAAAAGGGAAATGTTATCTTGGAAGAGTGGTGAAAATGTGTGTGGATGGAGTACCTTGCACCTATCACGGGAGAGAGAGGACCTCCCCTCCCAGGGCATGCTGAGGCCTTTGGTTTCATTTATATGACGGCAGAAGCAATGAATACGAGGAATGCAGCTGGCAGTGGGTTGGCTGATAATGGTCACAGAGGAAGTTGAGTAATGAATGAGATACCGGGGAGAGCCCTTGACCTTCACTCTTGTAGGTATTTCTATTCCCCAAGTGCTATGAAAGTGATAATATGTGTCTGGAAGTGAAAAGGAAACCTGTCTATGGCTACCCAAGGCTATGCCTCTGGGCTGTTGCATATGGAAATACCCCAGAAGGTACTCAGGCCAAGAAGGCCCAAAAGTTGTGCCTTCAGTCAGGGGACCACTGCATTATCTCTCTATGAGCTTGGCTCACACAATGGTACATCTGTCTCTGAGGCTGTGCCCTCACTGGACAAGTGTGCCTGGGAAAGGGTATTTCAGAATGTTTACACCACTGCAATGGATGCCTCTTTAACAGGAATGACAATGAGTTTTCTTTCTAATGCCAACACCAGGTGGAAGGAAGTGGCTGCTGGCCATCTAGAAGACAGTGTTGGGGATTCTGACCCCTCGGAATCTGGGTTTAGCAGGAGAGAGGGCCACAATCCACTGGTACTCGCTACTATGCGCCTGGGAGGGGGCAGTGAATTTGCTGTGAACTTGCCCTCCTTGCAAGAGATTTTCTCCAGGGGAACAGACTGCTTATCCTATTATACTCCTGAGGCTATTCCTTGCAAAGCTGGAGCATTTTCTGGGTGAAATTATTTTCTGGAGACAGTTGTTAGCTCAAAGGTGAATTAAATCTGCTGCCTAGTTAGCACCTGGATATATTTTAAAATATTCTGTCCTTCCAGGGCATTCAAGCAAATAACATCATGTCAGTATGATGTTGCCAGGGCAGATGCTGTGACCCCATCACTAAGAGTCCTGGTACTCAGGGTACTCTCAGTCTTCTCACTGTATCAGTTGGTTTCTTCCATAGTCTGATCTTGGTTCTCATCCATGAGAGATGTGCTTCCCCTAGAGCACACCACCTGCAGACAGTTGGACCATTCGTGTTCACCAAACCCCGTCTGGAAAGAAGGCCAGTTATTGCTGTGGTTACAGCTGAGCATTTGGTCACTGGAGCCATCCGGGTGTTGTTGGGTAGGGAGCGTTACTTAAGATCTTTGTAAGATGGTTGTCCCACTGTGCCTCGGCAAAACAGTCCTCTCACCACAGTCATCGTTTCTGTAGGAAGAAGAGACAAAAATAATGCTTTGGTTTTCATCCATATATTTGTAATGTGCCAGGCACTGTGCTGGATGCTGGGGACACATTTCCATGGGTGAGACGCATGCTCTGATTTCAAGGTGCACACTAACATGCATAAGAGCAAAGAGGAGGGAGGGACAGATTTCCTGGGGACTGAGGAAGTCTACAGAGAGAATGCTGAACAATAAGTCTTTTTAAATGTTTTTAAATTTAAGTATAGTTGGTATATATTACATTAATTTTTGGTATACAATGTAGTGACTAGACATTTATATGCCTTACAATGTGATTACCGCATTAATCTGGTAGTTGTCTGTCACCATAGAAACTTATCACAATATTATTGATTACACTGTTCTCACCTTTTCCATTCCCCCGCCCCTCCACACTCTCTCCTCTGGCAACCATCAGTTTGATTTTTGTTTCTGAGTCTGCAAAGAAAGCAAGTCAAATCCACAGTGAGGTACCACCTCACAGCAGCCAGAACAGCTATTGACAAAAAGTCAACAAAAGAGGTGCTGGTGAGGATGCCTCGGGGAAAGGCCACCTGTGTGCACCCTGGTGGGCCTGCAAATCAGTGCAGCCGCTGCAGACAACAGTACACAGATTCCCCCAAAAAACAAAAATAGAACTAACATGTGACCCAGCAATTCTACTTCTGGATATCTATCCAAAGGAAATAAAAACACTAATTAAAAAAGATATGTATGTGTACTTCTATCTTCATTGAGCTATTATTTACAGCAGCCAAAATATTGAAGCAACTTAGGTGTCCATTATTAGATGGATGAATGAAGAAGATGTGGTGCATATATACAATGAAATATTACTCAGCGATAAAACAGAATAAAAGCTTGCCATTTGTGACAACATGGATAGACCTAGAGGGTATTTTGCTAAGTGAAGTAAGTCAGACACAAAGGCAAATACCATGTGGTTTCATTTATATGTAGAGGAATCTAAAAAACCAAAAACAAATGAACAAGCAAAAGGAAAGATAAGGCTAGGGCTGGGGTATCAGGCTGAAGTGGAGTCCATCAGGAGGGAAGAAAGGAGGGCCATCTTGGGCAGAGGAAGAGCCTGTGCAAAGGCACCAAAACAGGAAAGGGCAAGTGGCACACTGGAAGAGTTGTCAGAATTTGTGTGAGGGCGGACTTGTAGGGAGTGAGGCTGGGGAGGGGGTATATATTGGAGGGGTTCTGAGTGGAGCAAGATCCCTTCCTTGTTTCCAGTCTCTGAAGGACAGGCTTTTGGTGGAGCCTAGAGTTAGAGCAGCACGATCTGCTGTTTCACCCTCAGCCCAGCAGTCAGCCTAATTTATAAACTCGGGACACTTTCCAGTAGAGAGTAAGGGCACTGTTAAAGCTGCAGTCACAGAGAGAACAAAAGCCAGAGTCACTTCCATGGACATAGCAGTAACACAAAACATATATCATATAAACTATGGGAGAGCCACAGATATTCACAAACTGGAATACATAGACGGAATTGCAAAGAGCAACTGTTCACGTGTTAAGCAATCAGAGAAAGTAAGGCAAGCCAGAGCATGTGCTGTAGAGGGAAAGCTGTGTCTGATTGTGACCCTTGGCTCTGAAGCCAGTGTGTGGGGGTGGGCACACCCATACCCCTGGGAAAGGGTATGTTCCTTTCTGTGTCTAGGAGGACAATGTGAATGGATATTTGCCTTATGTTGTGATTCAAATACAACCTTCCCAGACCAGCAGATGCTCTGGAATACCTTCCAAATTGCTCTACTTCCCACCCCACCACCCACAACAGGCCCTGCTTCCCAGGGCCCCTTCCCTCAGCCGGGAGACCCATCCCTGTGGGCCCAGGGTGCCGGTCTGAGTCCTTCCTCATCAGGGATGGCAGAGTGTCAACAGGCTCAGCCCCACCAATGAACGAGATCCGGAATTAGTGACCCTGCTGTTAGACAGCTGTGCCACATTCCTTCAGCTTTTGAGTACCTGTAGTGTGCCAGGCACTATGGTATAAACTTTTCACCTTACAGGAGTCCCACAAGGTTCTTTATGGAGGATACAGAGGCAGTAGAAAGATTAATTTCTCCAAAGCCACGCTGTTACTGTCAGAGCTGGAATTTGAACCCAAGACCTCTAACTTCAAAGTCTAAGATTTAACAATGACATGATTCCTCAACTCATCTGGAAGTCCAGTCTACACATCTGAGCTTTTGCCTCGGTTTTCTAGGCAGAGGAGATAACTTTAAGACCTCTAGTCCAATCTAGCAGTGCACAGCTGGTGCCATATCCCACTTATGGGCTCCTACCTTATTCTCCGTTTCTCTGGATTCCCCTGGCTAGTGACCTGCGTGTGTACTTCATTTGCCCCTCAGTTCTATGTATGACCCCACTCTTCTCTGTTCTGACCTTAATTTCACCTCTCCATCTGAGCAATCCCTTCAGACTGCTTTGGGTAGGTACAGCTCTCCCCAAATGCCACAGCCTTAGAGACTATTTCTTTTTCAGATTTGTTATGGCCTTACCTGAAGCCTGCTGAGAGGGCTGGGCTATGGCCTTGGTCAGTCTTTTACCAGTCCCATGCCCAGGGATACCACCAGCAGAGGCCGTGCTGCCGATGGCCAAATCATAGTAAAGCTCCGACCTGACCTCCATAGCTGGGCTGCGCTCACGTAGTGAGTTTCCTTGTGTGCCATTAGAGGGAGTCAAGCTCAGCCCCCAGAACACTGTGGACTACACTGCTGGTCTCCCCGTCCTTCAGCTGAGTAAGTTTTCTGGGCCCTGATACTGCCTGGTCCCGGGATCCATTGTTTTCTTACACTAGACTGCAGTCTGCTAGCCATGAGATGATGAGGTAAAAGAGTTTCAGTGTGTCTGGTGAATGCAGGGGCCATCTCTACCAGGGGTCTTGCAAGAGAATATTCTTGAAAACAAAGTTCTCCTAGGGAAAGCTAGGTATACAAGCCAGGTGTGAGGAAAGTTGTTCAGCTGTTCCAGGAGAAGGGCAATGTCGAGTATGGCTGGGTGAATTGTGCTGTGACGCAACCCCTTTTGTTAGTCTTGTGGAAAGAAGACTGGACAAACTCAGCCAACCAAGCAAAACAAAATTAAGCAAATTACAACACATTTCCAAACTCTTATCACCTAATCCACTGTTTCTCAGTCAAGATTTCTGTTAAATGAGGTGTAAGAAAATAGTTTTCTATACTGACCCAGTAGGAACCTGGTAGCGGGATGGGGTGAAGACTGCGGCATCAAGACTGTAGACGGCAATGGTGCTCAGCACTGGTGGCCACAAGGCTGGCCTGGATGCTTGCAGTGCGGGCCTGGGCCCACGTCAGTGGTGGAAACAGATGACCTTGTTATCAGATCCAGTGGCCTCCCAGGCAGCATTAGGGCCACTTATACCAGGAAGTATAGTGGCATCAGCAGGAGTAGTCGTTACAATCTTATCTGAACAGAGGAGATTTTAGGCGAATTTAATTGTCCTGAGACATATGAATCTGTTTTGAATTAAATTGAATTGAAACCAAAGATGAGAACTGTCCCAATGGAAACTGTAATGTGAAGTGACATTTCGATCACAAAAATGACAGCTGATGTGAGGCAGGCCATTGAAACTGACCCTGAATTAAGAACATGAAAAGGCTGAGTGGGTCATTAGATAATATCTTCCTGTGAATTTGAAAATGGGCTTTGATTACAGGAAGTATCTGAGGGCTTTCAACTAAGAAGCTTGTCAAAAATTGAAGTGACTCATGACATGATTCAATTTTACATGTACTTAATATTGTTAAACTTAAATTTTAAAAATTTATTTAAAAGAGCATAAAAATCTCGGGATTTTGTTGACTATTTATTACGTACCACAGCTTTGCAAATAGATGCCCACTTAGAATCCAATTCTTCCCTTCTCCCTTTCTGCAAAGAGGGCATCCTTTATTCTTCACTCCCCCTCCCCCATTAAAGAATCAGTATATTAAAGACATAAAGCGGAAGGACTGTAACTATACTTCCAGCCAGGAGACTGGGGCAATAGCATGGAAAATGAAAGAGTCCATTTGGGTAATAACTGCTATTTACTGAGCACTGAAACACCCTGCTCTAACCTCAAGAGTTTTGCATACCTTATCTATTCAACCTTGGCTCTCTGTGATAGATATTACCATTACGTTTTTACAGAGGTAACTGAGTCTGAGAAAGACAAACTAACAAAGGTAGTAAATGACAGGGCCAGGACCTGCCACCATGGTTTATGGACCCAAATGTATGCTCTTTAAGTACTACGCTCAGGATACCAAATTACTGCACCCTGGCTGCCAACTCCATTACGATGCCTTTCTAAAAAGGATTCTCAGTTCAGAATAGACTTCTGAACAGTCCAGTCTTCACAGAAAAGTGTATTAGGATCCACTGTCAAGTGAACCTTGAGAGGAAAGGTGGTGAATGGTGGCACGTGTGACACATAGACTGTTGCTGAGAGAGAGGGGTTCACTGGAGACGAGCAAGAAGCACGGCTCTGAGTGAGGTGCTACTCAAGAGGTGAGAAGAGGAAGTCACAGCTTTTTAGATGAAGGGGTAAGTTAGGGAATTACTGCAAGGAAAATCTTACATTACCTGATGAAATTAAGTAGAAGATGTTTGGCATTTGTTACTCCAAGTGTACATTCATGGTATTTATTCACTAATTCATTCAACAAGCATTTCTGAGTACCAGGTAGGTGCTGTGACTTACTGAATGTGTCAAAAGTGGTTTGCAAAGTTTCGTGCTGGAGATTTCTCACTGGATGATGCTCCACAGTTGGGTAGACCAGTTGAGGTTGACAGTGATCAAATTGAGACATTAATTGAAATCAATCAATGTTATACCACATGGGAGATAGCTGACATACTCAAAATATCCAAATCAATAGTTATTAGTGAAAGTGAAAAATGTGTCATTTACTTTATGGAAAAAAACATACTGACTTTTTGGCCAACCCAATGTAATGTTTATTT